CGGTCTGAATTTATCAAGTCGAAGCCTTAATAACCAGGAGGGTAGCAATTTTTTTTGGAGATTCTCTTCAATATATGAGACTATATAGATTTTGTTTATTTCAGGTTTGTGGGTAAAATGACTGGATCTCAATTAGACTTTGGAAGGCTTCATTTAAAGATGGATCTCAATCAGATTATCCAATCTTTTTGTTGGGCTTATTGGAAAATTTATTCATTTTATATGTTTTGTGTTGTATTTTTTAACATAATTACTTGTCAATTAATTTTTGAATTTTTTAAAAGTTGGCTGTAAGACAATTCTATATATGAATAGTGGCTTCCAACGGCAGAGGAAGGAATCAGCATCAAGATAAAGATCTAAACAACGATACGAATTCCGTATAATATGTTGGAACAGCCAGGTTATGGTTCACAAATATTCTTAAAAATGAAAAGTACAAAGATTAGCTTAGCTGTTTCCTATACTTTTATACTCTCTAAACACATCCACTATACTATAATTAGTGGTTATCATTGTATAACATAAAAGAATAATGGATAAAGTACATAAATGGTCCCAGATTATAGGGTATTATTTGTTGAGTCTCTCAACTATTAAAATTTATAAAACGGTCTCCTGACTATTGGGTGATGCTTTGTTGAGTCCATTGACTGGTCATCTGATTTTTCATACATTTCAAACACATCTTTTTCTATTAAAAATTGACAGATGTCTAAGTTGGACATCAACATACTGATTGTGATATGATAAAATTTGATCTCAAAATCTTAAACGAATATACAATCAAACGGTTTTGATATCAGATTTTATCATATTCCAGTAAGTAAGTTAACGTCAAACTCAAATGACCGTCAATTTTTTAACGAAAAATGACGAGTTTGGAACATATGAATAGTCGGGTGACCATTTTGTAACTTTTAATAGTCAAGAGAGAACACAGTAATACCCTATAATCGGGAGACTATTTTATAATTTTTAATAAAGAAAGTACTCAAGAAAAGAATAACCTATAATTGAAAAATGCATCACCCAAAAATAATAATTATATCTCAAAAGCCATCATTAAAATAATAATTAAGCAACTTAATAAAAGGGAGACCGAATAAGGCAAATAACTGGGTTCCCTTAGTGCTCTACTACCCCCCCCCCCCCAATTTCGAATAAAATCCGGGATCCTGTTAATTTATAAACTGTGGTTTAGGGCCTAAATCTTTTTGTTCTCCCTTTTTCATTTATAATAACCTATATTTGCATAGATTCTCGGGGCACAACCCTAGCTTAGGGACCCCCCATTGGGGAAAGTAGGCAATAACATACCCTTCAGTTCTTTATTTTTTTATATTATTGAAGTTTTAAAGGTGATGCCAAACACAGGGTTTAGGTCCGGATGCATGCAACTTCCCCTACCTTTTGCCATTATCATATGTTCTAAACCCTACCTTTTACAAAAACTACACTAACATATATTATTCTAAATTTAGTTTTTTTTCTTATATATTTAGACTGAGATCAGCTTTCATTCTACAAATATTATTATTTTTAGAATTAATTTGTGTTTGGTGATCAAACCCAAATAAATAAGGGTGCGGTTTGTACATGCATGATAAATCGTTTTCTTAACCTTGAGGTCGTGGGATCGAGTCTTATGGAGGGTATTTCATAATTTGGAGGTCTCCTACGAAAGCTGCTCTCAACCTAATGTTGGGGGCAACCTACTATCTTACCTCCCCCTTACCCCATTACATATGGGAACAAGGGACAACCATTTTTTTGTACATGCATGATAAACCTTTTGGTGTAGAAATAATAAGATAAAGAGATTTCCACTTGTTTCGTTGACGGCGGCTGATATTAATGAATAACTTCAAAGATATTTGTTTGTCATTTAGCTGTAATATTATGTAAAGTTGATTTGGCAAGTGAAGGAAAAGAAATTCATTTTGCCACGTGATGCGTGTGTGTAATATAACCATCAAATGGTTTTCTTTTCTCCTTCCTTGTTTAAAGGTTTCACACAGTGAGAGTGATTCGAAGATTCATTAATTGATTGAGTGGTTAAAGATATTTATATTATTTTATTTTGTGAGTTTAATTCTTGATACTTACCTTAGATGTATTATCTTTTTATTTAATTAAAAATGATCCGTAAAATTAATAAATAAATAAATTTCGAAAGAAACTCTTAATTGAAATAAAATTATATATTCACGTTGAATTAAATGATTTTGTTTCAGTTTTATCATACAAAATGTCAAAAAAGCATGATATACAATTTTCAACCTATAAAGACTGCAACACATTTAGAAAAATAAATGAACTAAATTATTTTTATGTTAAGAAAATACGACTATTTTAGCATACAATAACTAGACTTAAGTAATCGTATTAATAATTCGTGAAAATTAAATAATAGGATAAAGTACATAAATGGTCCATCGACTATAAGATATTATTTTTTTGAGTCCACGACTATTAAAACCTACAAAATGACCCCCAGACTATAGGGAGATGCTTTATTGAGTCTGTCGACTATTAAAAGTTACAAAATGATCACCCGACTATTCATTATGTTCCAAACTCGTCCTATTCCGTTAAAAAACTGACGGTAATATGAGTTAGACGTTAACTTTCATAATCTCAAATGATTATCATATTCCAGTTAGAAAGTTCACGCCCATCTCAGACAACCGTTAATTTTCTAATGAAAAATGATGAGTTTGGAACGTAATGAATAGTCGGGTGACCATTTTGTAACTTTTAATAGTCGACGGACTCAACAAAGCATCTCCCTATAATGAGAGACTTAACAAAATAATATAATATAGTCGGAGGACCATTTGTGTACTTTACCCTCAATAATATCTAAATTTTATTTGTAAAATTAAACCAGTTCAAATTTTCCACAATAAATTATGCACTATATCAAAGTTTGTGTAATTTTGAATAAATTACAAGATGAAATAATTTTTTAATATGATTCCAAAAGTATCCATTATCATAGAGCTCAAATTAGAGACAATTGTATATCTTAGTTAATTTGAAGTATTAATCTTGAAGTTATTGTAGTAACAATAATATTAACTAAATTAATATTTAATTATATGAGATAAATATAATTTTATATAATTAAGGTAATTGTGTAATCTCTTAAAATATATTATAGATTTTATTTTATTAATTGAATTTATCATCATTGTTATTGAAAAATTTTAAATACGATAACACAATTAAATTCAAAACAAATTAGAGTAGCACTAACTAAAAGATCCTCAACAAGATTTGGATTGGAACTTTTTTTTTCTCATGAATATTATAGTGGCATGATTCCACATGCATGACATAAACAACGTAAAATTCATAAAATCTGAATATTTATGAATTTTATGTATTAATACTTTCAGAGATAGATACAAAATTTTATGTTAAGGGACGAACTTCTAAAATTTTAGGAGAGAACAAACTTATAAAATTTTAGGGGGCGGAAACAGATTTTTAATTGAAAATACAAAGAAATATCTAAAATATATGTTAATTTGAAATTTTCAAAGGAGTGACTGTATGCACTCGGCCCCCTTCGGTTTGGAGCCTTGGCACATATCTAAACATCAAGATCTCCTTTATGGTTGTTCATCCTATGTTTATTTTGATATCTTTTACTTCGTTCCTCTTAAACTAATATTCTGACTTCATCCCTCTTAAACTAATATTCTGACTTCATCCCTGATTGTATCTCTAAAATTTAAAAACTAAATGGTCTTTTCAGGTGTGCAACCTACTATTGTATTCAATAATTGAGATGCATCAAATCATATGCAATTCATTATCTCAGTCATTAGGTTAAAACTATTTCATCATTGTCTTTCTTTTTCATTCTTATTTAACACAATGTAAGCCATTTCCCACACAAACAGTCACATGCATGCTAAATGCAGAAAATATAAATATCTGCTTTTCTGAAATGGCTGCTTGCGCTTATTCTTTCCTTAGCTGCCAACCTCATATAAGAATAGCACAAGCGAGTAGCTAATGAGCCACAGCTCTAAATTACAAGGCACCGGCTATGAATGTAAGTCAAAGCTAATCAGCAAAGAAAGCTATCAATAAGGGCTAAGCTGAGCAATAAATGCAAAGAAAATGAAATAGATTAATGAAAGGTCTTTAAGCATATAATGAAGTGTACTAAACATACTATAAAACAATTCTTTTAGGTAACAAAAGTTTGCATTTGATGCAATATCTTAGTGTATAAAGTATTTAAAGACTTTCCCAAGCAGTACAAAACTCTTTTCCCTGAAATTTGACATAACTATGTTTCTAATACTATTATTGTATATCAGAAATGGATTTGTATATTGTATGGAACTCTATACAAACGACTCAAAATCTTAAATATTTGAAATTCTTCTTCTGTCAATCAACTACATGAAGATAGTGCAAGTTAGCTGTGAAAATAATGCAATTTCTTTAACTATAGATTAAAAAAGCTCCTGCAGTATTCATTAACAATAAATGAATGATAAAATTCGTCCACAGTTCACTGCATAATTTCATTGGAATATGTATACAGAAGCTGGTAAATATTGATCCTATAGGGAAATCAAAACAGTTCGACCTAATAAATCAAATCCTAATCCTAACATCAACAGGTTATGTTCTAATCTACTTGACATAAACAAAAGGGATTGGCGATGATGTTAATCTGGTTTTCATTAACTTGAAATGCATGGAAGCCACTTATCTTTAAAAAAAGGGGAAGATATTAATGATAATAAGAACATCACATTAAGCTCCACTGACACATGTGATAACAGGAAAAATAAATGTGCAATACAAATGTAGAACAAGATTTCTTTATCTGAAAGCAAAAAACACCCTCGCAGAAGATGATGGAAAAGTGTCAGATAAATATATTGTATATATGGATCATACTAAGTAGAGAAAAAAAGATCAATCTTACTCAAATCCTGATGTGTGGGGGGTTGGGGGGGGGGGGTGGGAATCTCCATTAAAGAGGATGACATGGTTTAATATTAGCTAGGTAGTTTTAGTCAAGGTTGAAATTTCTTCTTTCAGTTTCTGCTCCAGGTAAGGTACTTCAACGCCTCTCAGATCACTAACCTGCAACAGCCAAATAAAGAATTTGCAGTTGTTAAATTAGCAGCCTGATACCCCATGCAAAAACCCCTAATTAACCTAGTAATCAATGAATAATCGTACCTCAAGTTTTATGGTGTGAATCAGTCCTCCATCAATCTTGGTAGAGATACTGTTGACAATATCAAGTCCTTCCTCGAGCAGTAGTTGTAGAACCCTCGAGAGGGTCAAAGCTTGAGCAACAACACCGGTGCTGACCACAACTTCAACACCGTCCAAAGATTGGCGAACCGCGACACTGCTCGGGAAAGCCTCGTCCGAGCTCGTCCCTCGGCGAAAACCACTCGAATCGATCAATACTTTCTTTAACTCGTCTCTCTTGGCACTCAGTTCCTCGATCCTCTTCTGCAGGTCCTTTATATAGCTTACTGCTTCATTCATATGATCTGATATTGCACGCTTTCCCTGAAAACCCCATGAAAAGTAAACCTATATCATAAGTATATGCAAAACCAGAGAGCAGTTCCTTCAATTATTAAAGAAGAAAAGAAGTAAAGAAGCAGATGCATCAAGCTGGTTACCTTGATGTACTCAAGAGGGAGAAGGGTTCGGAGAGAAGCATAAAGGGTGGACATTTCTTGCCTTCTTTGCCTTTCAATATCCCTATGCATCGACTTTTTCTTATCGCCGTCGTTACTATTTTCTCTCTGCCGGCCTCTACTTGCCATATTACTACTGCTGCCTCCCATGGGAACAAAATCCAAAGTCTCATCTTGTGGGATTGTGTTTTGAGGGTCGGAATTGGAGGAGAACTGGAAGAAAATCTCATCCATACTGCTTTCAAGCGTGAAGGGAAGTATTGATTAATAACTTTGTCTGGGAAAGGGATTGGAGACGGGATTTTGCGCAAATAAGAGTGCAGGCAAAAGCAACGGATACGTTTGTTAGGGTGCGAGATCTTGAGATGGGGCCGAAGATGTCAAGATTCCCTATAATGCTCCATCAGGTTTATGATATAAGATCATGAGAGATATGAACTGATATCTCTACCCATTATATATATATTCCCGTTTAAGTCCTCTATTTTATGGTTTAGCTGATAATTAAGCCACCTAACCCCAATTTTCTTTTTCTGAAAAAGTTCTTTGTTTTACAAGTGAGGGGAAAGAAATTGTACAAGATCAAACATAAATCTTAATCTCAATCAAAATTAAAACAATATCATTTATAAGTAAGGGTAAGTAAAATTAGATTCTATTCGAAAAATTGACTTAATTCTAATAAAAAAAATTAAATAAAATTTAAATGATAAAATATGACATGTCATCTCGATTAATTCTACATTTTTTAACTCGGTTCAACTCGACTCAATCGAGTACTCACCCTTAATTACTCTTCTATTTTAAGTTCATTTTCTTATCAAATTTGAATCACATACTCATATATATTACCATAGAACATAAATCTACTCTTATTTAGAATCATTCTTAGGTTTATTATATTTGGTTCAAACTCCCTCGTGTGTCTTTTATTTAATATTTAAGAAACATAACAGCTTTCAACATAGAATTATGTTGGAGAGTTTAATTTTCACCATAAAAATTACGATTATGTATTGAAATATCAATCTTTCACTAATATTTATTAAAATATCACCCTTTCATACAATGTGGCAATAAGATGTGTTCTACAGACCGCGCTTTGCTCACGTTGCATTCCCAGTTCCCACACAGCAAAAAGTTTTACATGAAACATTTTATGTTGATCTGACAATCCACCTGGAAGGTAAAGATGCTTGATCTGACAATCCCATTCGTCATTTCCTTTTCCCACCCACCATTTGCCGCCTTTTGCCTTCCCTCGTTTCTCGCGCTTTCTCCCTTCCCCAACCCTTATTTGAACCCTCATCCCCTCAGTACAAATCACACCAAAAACCATCTATTCTATCTTTTTTTTTTTTACAAATGTTTCAGATGTTCGAGATACTATTCGAGGTGTTAGTATTTTTTATGTTATTTAATAAATTTATTTAAACATTTTTGTTTAATTTTAGTTACTATTTTTTTAAATGTGTGTAGTTAAAAAATGGAAAACATGTTACGATGGGATGAAACTCATATTTTGTTTCATCTATTGAATATGGTAAAAATATTTTATTAAATTTTATTTGATAAATATTTAATTATTATTATTATTATTTAATGTTTTCCTGTTTTATTTAATATTTCAAATTTTAATATATTAAATTTTTATCAATTAGGATAATGATAATATATTAGAAATGTTTATTCATAACACTAAGATGCGCACACCGACTCACATTTGGAATTACTTGAGAGATGTTGAATTTGAGTACTTACCCTAAATAATTGGAGGTTGTATACTTCAACTCACCCTCATTTCTGCACTAATCGATAGGTGGAGATCAGAGACACGCATCTTTCATCTTTCTTGCGGAGAATGCACTATTATTCTAGAGAATGTTTCAATGCAGTTAGGACTCTTGGTAGATGGACATGTTCTTACTGGTGTGGCTATTGATAATTGGTTTGGTTTGTGTTGCGAGTATCTAGGAAAGGTCCTGGATTCGTTCAACGGTGGCCGAATCTCGTTAACGTGCCTCTAAAATAATTTTTTAGAGTTGGACGAAGATTGTTCTGAAGAGGAAGCACAAGCATTTGCTCGCGTATATATTTTATGGAACAAATAAGAGATCTTGATGCCCGACAAATCTCTCAACTAAGTGCATATCATGTGTTTGTGCCATCTCGTTACTTTTGAAGAAACGAGTACGTTTAGGTGGGGATCGACAATTTTAGCTTTTCTCTGTAGAGAAATGTGTCAAGTGATGAATTATACCAAAAATGGTATTGGCAGTTTTCTCTTTCATTTACAATCATGAGCATTGTATTGCATGCCTTTTTTATATCAACGTCTTGTGAACGAGCCAGTTGTCTTCCATTTATTACTAAGGTAATTTCAATACTTAATTTATATATAAATAAGCTTTTATTATAAAATTAAGTAAAATATTTTTTATATTAAATAGATGATCATCAAGGAAAAACCATCGTAAGATCCTTGATGAGTTACAAGATATCAAGTTATTAAATATCAAGCAAAAATTAAGTTTAGAGGTACGCTTTTAATTATTAATATTTTGTTTAGTTATAATTATAAGAATTTCATTTATATGTTGATAATAAAAATATTTTTTTCCAGTTTCAATGGATGCCTTATATGAACGAAGAAATGAGTGCTTGCATCCCACCTGACTTGAGTGGTCCATTGGAAGTATGACATACGATTGTACCTCTTATCTGTTATGCTATTGTTGAGTGGCATCCGAGTGATCATGTGCTTCGTCAGTTTGGTTTTACACAGTTTATTTCGGAAGCACTCATGAAAGTTGACAGTATGCATAACATGGACAGACGATGCAAGCCTGATATTGATTGGAGGGAGAAGTACAACGGGTGGATAACGATGTGGGAGAACTAGTATGAACATATTCTCGTTCGTCATTATATTTCAGAAACTGGTTTGATAGTTTCACTTGAATATATATCATCGTTTAACGAAAACGAGAAGTCGTTCATTCTTTCTGATGAGGCACGAGACGGGTCTATTCATCGTCATCGGGAAAAATGTCCATCGACACAATATCATCGTCCCCTGACTAATCATGGACGAAGAGCAGATACTTCCAGTCTGTCTTCAACAATACCACTGGAAACACCATAACATCTATCATCCAGACCAATGTTGAGTCCATCGAGTTAAATCTCAAACTCGTTGGTGTACATGCCGAGTTCGCATGGTTATATGCCAAGCCCCCCAGAGGATATTATACGCCTATGGAGGCCAACATTTGCTTCATATGCATTGTATCTGGAAGGGCGATGCTCCTTCACTAATATCACCATCATATGTAGCCCAGTCACCGATGTCAATTTTTTCACAATTTTCGTAGTTCTCAGTAATCAGTGGGATTGTTGATCACACACCTCCGCATTCATTATTCCATTGAGATCCTTCTTTGACATCGACTCCTACCTAAAAAGATGAAGCTGATGTCGATAAAGATAATGAGAATGAAGATGAAGAACAACCTAGACAAAGAAATTCTGCTCAAAATAGACAATCACTACTATGTGAAACACATTAACGAAGAATACATCATTATTTTATAAAATTTTATCTTTTTAATTTTTTATTGATTTAGGATATTTAAAGTTATATTTGAATCAAATGTCATATATTTAATATTATATTCAAATTAATTTTTTTATGTTATTATCGAATGTTATATTTTTTATCTTTAATTTTTATATTATTTTTTGAAAATATGTTTAATGTTATATTTTCTAAATTATTTATTTTGTATAATTTTAAAAGTAAAGGCACGTTATGTAGAACGTGCCTTCCAGGTGGACTGTCAGATCAACATAAGACGCTTTATATAGAATGCTCCTTTGTTGAACACGCCTTTGTTGAGTGAGATGCCACATGAGCAAAACACGTTCTATAAAATGTGCCTTATTGCTAGGTTGTATGAAAGGGTGATATTTCGACAAATAGTGAAGAAAGAGTGATATTTTGATAAATATTAATTTTTATGGGTGATATTTTGATAAATATTAATTTTTATGGTAATTTTTAGGTAAAAATGCCAATTTTATGTACCTTTTTTAGAGGAGTTTTTGTTAACATGTAATTGATTATTAGTCTATAGCTTTCTATAGAACGATAGTGTGCGAAATAAAATGTAAAGTTAATTCAATTTTAGGGTAAACTACTTATTCAGTCACCTTAATAATATTATGTTCTATTAGGCTTAATATTAAAAAATTGCCAAAACTATACTCTTTCTTTCATTTAGGTGCCTAATTTTCCCCCATCAATCTAGGTGCCTAATGTTATAAACATTATCATTTTAAGTGTATCGATCGTAACGACATTAAAAAATTTCATTAAGTGACACATGTCATATTTTGGTAATTTTAAAAAAATTATTTTTAAAAAATTAAAAAATATTATTATATTTAAAAACCTCTAAACTTTACCCCACAATTCATAAAAACATAATTCCCAAATCTCAAAAACCCTAAATACCTATTTGGCTGGCGGTAAAAAGGCGATCGGAAGTGGAAATCTGGAGACTGATGAGTGGGTTTCGACGAATACATAATGACGGTCGGTGAGTGTTGTCGCGATGGTACGAATTGGATAAAGAAAGGGAGAGAGATGCAAAGGAAAAGAAGACGTAACGACAGTGAGTGGTGCTAAGACGGTGTTTGGACCACTACAGGGCTTTGTCTCCATCATGGTCGACGACGACGCTATTTCCCCTTCGTTGTCAGACTTACCTAGAATGAATGCGGTTAACCAAATATTAATATGGATGTGGAATTAGAGATTTAAGGAGTTTGGATTTTTTTTGGTATTGCAAAAAACTGAGTTTTTTTTTTTAAATAAAATATTTTATTTTTTTAAAAATAAAATATTTTAAAATTTTATAAACATGACACGTGTCAGATAACATTTTTTTAACGTCTGTTACAGTGTAGGCACTTAACATATAACTTTTGTAACGTTAGACACCTAAATTAACCGGAAAAATTATGCGCCTAAATGAGAAAAAAAAAGATATAGTTTAGGCATTTTTTATATTAAGCCTTGTTTTTATCACCAAACTACTGAGATTTTCATTTTAGTCACCAATGTTTTCGTTTGATTATGTTTTGGTGATCATCCATTAAAAAGATAACAAAAATGATGACATGGTTTTGTATAATAACACATTTTATTATGTTTAGTCCTTTAAAGTTTTATATTCTATGAATTT